TCAAAGACATTGCCCCACACAACGGGGCATCCTAGAAGCAGAGCCCAAGACAAGGATTCTTGTTTGGGGGAATAAGAATTGTTGGGGAGGGCTCCAGAGGAAAGTGACAGGAGAGGGTAAAGCAGCCTTCAGTATCAGCAGAAGCCCAGCTCCAGTCTGATGCCAGCAGGATGGTCTGGGTACAAGCTGCACTACAGAGCTTGGTCCCACCCAGGGTGGGTAGGGCTGGGGTAGCCCACAGGCCGGGCAGCTGTGAGTCATTAGTGGCCAGCACTCACTATAGCTGGAAAAGGAATGGAGGGTCCTGCTGATGTGTGTCTGGGACTAGAGGGTGACAGCCATGGCTGGCATCTGGGCCCCCATGAAAGCAGCAGCCTCTTGCTTCTACATCCCAAAAGCTTTCCCAAGAGAAAAACCCATTTGTTCTCCTCCCTCCAGGCAGTAGGGTAATGGGATGCCCAAGTCCTCAGTAAGAGAAGTGAAAAGGCATGTTGCACAGAGCCTAGGATGTGACAGGCTGCACATGCAGATCACTAGGGATCTTTATTCTAGAAGCAGTCTGCTGCAGGTTCCACCTTAAGAAGAACAATGACGTGTGTTACACTTGCGTCATTTATATAAGCACTTATTCCTCACCACAACTCTATGAGGTCAGGAGTAGGCACCATTTTCCTCATATCACAGACAAGATGACCTCAGCCAGGGGACAAGACTGGCCAGGGCCCTCCCATTGGAGAAGGCCAGCCCTAGAGCCTGGACTCCTGACTCCAGCCCTCTTGGTAGCCCAGCTTTCAGGCACCAATGGAAATCTCCTCAGAGCTTCTCAGCAGGTCTGGCCCCTGCTGCAGACTGAACAAGCAGTTTGGGACTCTGATAACTATTATCAAGATGCAGAGAGGCCCACTTTTAGTTCTGCTGTGTTTTTTATTTTGTTTCTTATACGGCCATTGGCCATCATGTCACCTTGAACATAAGTTCATGTTACCTTGAATGTAACTCCTCCAGTAATGATAGAGGCTGAGCTAGAGGCCACCACCCTGCTACCAGTAAACCCCCAAACACCACTCCTCATATCAGCCGATGTCAAGAAAACATTTATTCCACTTGGTCAGCTCCAGCAGGTGTCAGTAACCTCCAGCAATAGCCAACCTGGATGACCATCTGTGTGCACTGTTGTGTAGCCATGGGTGGGGCAGGGGATCCTCCCTCCAGCTTCCACTGCCCCCACACAGGGGATGACCTGAGGTCTCCAGTGTCCATTACTGACCCAGAGGAGCCAGCCCACAGCCCAATGAAATGCACCCACTAGTTAACTTGCATGCCCTCACCCTTGCACACCTCCCATTCCCCATTGTCCCACAACTTCCAGCACTAGTTCACCAGCCAGTTAACAAGTTTTTCCTGAGAGTAATGAGCCCAGCCCTGTGCTAGACCCAGTTGGAGTTCAAGAAGAAATGATACAGTCTCTTGCCCTCAGGGAGCTCACAGTCTAGTTACACACATGAGCACACACACATTGGAAACTGGAGGTAAGACCAGACAGCACATAGTACTCAAGGGTAACACAGTGTGTTAACATGGGTACTGTTTAGAGAAGGAAGGAGTGTGGGCTGGCTAGACTGGGCAGCTCAGCCCTAATGGGTAAGGAGAGCTTAGTAGGGAGGAGGAGGAAAGGAAGAGGACATTTCAGAGCAGTACAGGGGAAGGCACAGCACAGTTACAGCAGGGAGAAGACAAGCTGGATGAGTAGCAGAGAAAGGGCGTTTTGAGGTTTCCTCTAGGTTGGCCAATGATCAGAGCCATATGGAAACTCCCAGAGTAGGAAGTACCTCTCTTTTCTCTGATCTCCCCATGTGCTCCACAACCCCAGGATGAGGCCTACAGAGGGGAGTTCAGTAAGAACCTATGAGTCAAACTGCATGGCAATAGCTGCAGGAAGACCCCAGGGCAAGAACCTACAGGTTCCATCCCAGCTTGGTGGGCCCCACATTTTCTGATGAGTGGTTCACTCTGAGGAGGCAGGTGAGCACTCGTGGGCTCTAGGCTGACTTGCTCAGGTTGGAAGACAGGAGTCCTTGTCCTGCAGTGCCCTGAGGCACACCCCCTCAACTTGCACCTTTTGTTCACTTGAGGGACACACAACTCCTCCACTGCCAAGAGCCAGAGACACAAGGAACAGGGCTCTGGTCCTCTTCCTCCCCAGACAGGGGCTGCACACCTGGCCAGCAGGAGACATGGCTGTCTGGGAGTGGCTGATAGAAGCAGGATTCCTTCTCCCTGCCATAAACACAGACCAAACTCATACTTCCACCAACCCCTCAGCAGTCCAGCCTTTCCCGAGACCTCACAGTGAAATCAGAGCTGAGGCTGGGCACAGGTCTCCATTGTGAAAACCAGCAGCCTGTTAGGCAGAACAAGAAACATAAAACCAGAGGAACAAACCAGACCAGGGACCTCTGGCAATGTGAGGGGAAATTAGGGTCCAGAAACATAGTGCACTGTTAGGCTGGGGAGAAGGGGTTGACTAAAAGGATCTCCACCTCAGAATTCTTTATTCCCAAACAAGAGAAGGAGGCCACAGGGAGAATCACTACTTGTATGGTGCCCTTGACTCGGGGACTCTGTGAATGTCATCTAAGGAAAAGTGGCAGGTGGAGGAAGCCTCCAGGGCTGAGAGGTCCATAGTCTGGGGTCCAGGGGTTCCTGAAATTGCTTGAGATGGTTACATGAGTGCATGTGTTCTCCTGGGAGAAGGCCCATGACTTCCATAATTTTCAAAGGCCACACGACCCCAAGTGTTAAGAACCTGTCTGGCTCAGAAAGGGAAATGAAGCCTGCAGTGCTGTTTACAATTAGAGGAGGTTTTGCCTCTAGAGCCAGGTCTGCCACCAACTTGCTATATTAGCTTAAATCAGTCACTTCCTATCTCTGAACTTCAGTCAAGTGGTAGGCCAGGCAGGAGCAGAGAAGCCAGCTCTCCACACACAGACGCTGTCCCTGTTGCCATACAAGCGTTGAGGTCCAAGGTCAGGCAGCCAGGAGGAGGCCTACCTGGCTATTACTCAAACCAGGCCTGGGGAGTTTTCTCACAAGGACTTGGAATTGGCCTTGAATTCCAGGCTCCATAGGGTTACCTCTACAGGTCACTGCAGGGTACCTCCCGAGGTAGGTCTTCTTAGGGGACATGTCTTCAGGCTAGGGTGTAGTGCCAGCCAGACCCCCATGTCGTCTAGTCTCTGTGCCCAGATGTGCCGGCACCTTCTGGGACATAAAGTCAGGCCTATTTTGCACCTGTTCACAGAAATAAAGAGATCAGAGTCAAGTCTTGCACTGAACTGGCCCACTCTGAATTTGTCTGGGGCTTTGATGGAGCCACCGAGGCCCCTATCAAGCTCTGCCGGGGTTATTAACAGATCAAACACCTTGGGTTTGGGGCATCTGGGTGACTGGCTCCCGATGTCCCTGGACCGTGTGTAATCTTATTTTCTGCCATCAAATACTGACCCACATTAAACAGCCACTGGGAACAACAGGTAGAGAGCAATGGATCCCTGATAAGTCACACAGCACTGAGGATGGGCAGAAAAGGCAGAGGGAAGGAGCAGGTCTCCAGCACCTAGCAAGGGCATGGGCAAGGGCTCTGGGAGCAGAGGTCCTCACATCCTCCCACCATGTCCTCAGGCACCCATCTGAGCCAGTAATGCCCCTATCCATAATCCTTATCACATGTCCCCTGGCCATGTGCCCAAATCTTCCCAGCTCCATTTGCCATGGTTTAGCAGTAAAGCTGAAGGGTCCTGGCCCAGCATTCAAACCAAAACCCAGGCCTCTCCCACTGGAGCACTAGTTATAGTCTGGAGGCAAACTCAGCAAGCCCCCATTACCTCACTTACCAAAGGACCACAAAGGCTAGTGTCTCAAGGTGTCACCTTGCAAAAGAGGCCCAGCTCTCCCTGTTCTCGCTGTGTGACCTTGGCCAATCCTCTTAGTTAGCTAGGGCCTTTTTTCTTTTACCTAGATGATCCCAAGACCTTCAAGGTTCTGCTCTTCCATCTGTCCTCCCGGTGCCTCTGATTCTCCTCTAAAGCACAGGTCTGAGCTCACTGTGTGCTACTCATTAAAAATCTCAGGTGTCCCTTCCCCTAACCCCGAAGTCCTTTGTAGGGCAAACTCCTCTTCGCTATCCAAACCCACCTTGAAAACCCTTCTCACACAATTGCTTTTTCTACAGCAATTCTTTTAGACTCCAGGAGCCGATTCAAATGGTCACCTTCCTGTTCCAGAGCCTCTTATAAGTTGTCCCTATTATAGCCTACATCCCTCTGTACAGGCATCTGTCACAGGCATGAGGTGAGCCCCAAGTGACCAGGCCTGGGGGTCCTCACCTGTTCTTTCTCCTGAAAGTGGAGCAGTGCACAGCATGGCACACAGAGGTACCTCAGCAAAATCTCTTTGGACAAGAGATGTCATCCTCTCATCTTATAATGGCAAATCTTCACAATAACCCAGGGAGGATTCTCTCGTCCTTATGCCCAACTTACAGATGAGCAAACTGATACATGAAGTTGAAATGACTTCTCAAGGCCACCAGACAATGGGTACAGGAGGCTGAGGCCTTAGGGTCTGAAGTTGGGTCTGGGGACTGTGGAAAGTAGCCCTCTCCAAGTCGCTTTCAATTCTGACATTCTGAGAATGAAGATCCAGTAAGCAGGGGGTCATAAGCAGACCTACAAGCCCACCTGACATTGAGAATCAGGGTCCTCCGCCACCCTCCCCGCCCTTGCCATCCTGCCAAGCCTCAGAGGGCTCTAGCCAGCCCTGCAGGTCTACCTGCTCTAGGCCGCATGAGCCTGGGGAGGAAAACCCACACAGGAGCCCAAAGCAGCTGCGGGCAGCCAGCCAGAGGGACCTGGATGGGGTGGGGGGGGGGAAGCGAAGGACAGCCAGAGCCCCTTCAACACAGCAAGCCGGCCCTCCCCTGTCCCGGAAGCCCACCCAGAGAGCGGGCCGCAGCCCAGCGCCATCTCCAGGGCTTCAGGACTGGAGGCAGCCAGTGGTGGCGGGCCACGCGTGCGTCATAGCACGCGGCCTAAATGGGCCGCCTGGCCCTCGGGCCATGGCCGTGGCTGCGCTGGTGGGTCTTGAGCGAGCCCTCGCGCGGAAGCTCTTGCCGCAGCGGGGACAGAAGTAGGGCCGCCGCTCCCCGAAGACCCCGGGGCGGGCGGGTGCGGCGCGGGCATGCGCGCGTGGGTGCGCTGGTGGTTGAGCAGGAAGCGCGCTCGCGGAAGCAGCGGCCGCACTGCGCGCACTGGTGCGGTTTCTCCCCGCTGTGGATGCGCTGGTGCGTGAGCAGGTTCTGCTTGAGGCTGAAGCAGCGGCCGCACTCCGGGCAGGGGAAGGGCCGCTCGCCGGTGTGCGTGCGCTGGTGCACCTCGAGGTTGTGCTTGACGCTGAACGCCTTGCCACACTCCGGGCACACGAAGGCGGCCGCGCGGCCGTCCCGGCGTGGGCCTTCTGTGCCGCACCAGGCTGGGCTGCTGCGAGAAGGTCTGGCCACACAGCAGGCAGCGGTGTGGCTGCTCCTCCGCAGGGTGGTGGATGACCAGGCCTTGGTCGTCCCCAGACCCTCCTCCCCGTCCCCCACAGGGGACCTGCCCCTGGAGGACACCAGTTCGGTCATGGGCACTTCCAGCTGCAATCACCAGCCCCTGGGGAGTCAGAAGCAGAAAAGGAGTCAGGGGGACCCAAGAGTGAGCCAACCCCCAGCCGCAGGAGTTACTCAGTTCCCACAATGTCCAGTACTCACTCTCCCTCCTACAGTTTTGTTTAGACCAAACTTCCCTTTTTGCTCCTCTACCCCTTAATCACAGCCGGTCCTCCTCTGGGCTCTCTTCAAGAGCCACCTCCTCCTAGAAGCCTACCCTGACCTGTCCAGCCTCTCCCTGAGCCAGGCTGCCCAACTCTGTGACATTACTCATGGCTGTGCATGAGGGTGGTCCTGCTACATCTGCCCCCACCCCAGCTTCTCAAGGACACAGCTGCCTTCTGTTAACTGCGGCACCAAGACACAGCATAAACGCTGACAAGGAATATGCAGGGGCTGCTAGTATTTTAGCTTATTCTTCACCTGGGTCTATCTCGTCTCTCCAACCAGATTACCAAGGAGGAGGTAGGGAGCTGCGTCCTAAACCATCACTGATGATTTAAAGATATTTCTTTTTTGCAAAGCCTAAGCAGAAAACAAAACCTCTGCAAACTTGAAAGGGACCTCACTAGGTTAAACATTAAAGGCAGCTCTTCTCTGTTTATCAGAATGAATCGTGTGCTTGAAAGGTTGCAAGTCACTGAACCCAAGTGTGAGCTCCCAGGGCCCTGGGTCTCAGTCCGATTCCTCTTGGTTAACCCCACGGCAAAGTGACACACTCAGTACTCAACAAACACCCCAGCCCTGGCTCCCTTCATTCAGGTTCTCCTAAAGACCCTCTTCCCAGGCCACTGTGTTCCTCTTAAGTGAGTTCCCGTTGTCTTCACAACAGCCCTAAGAAAGGGGCAGAGCAGTGTTATGGAGCTCCACTTTATAAACAGGGCAACTGAGGCTCGGTGAGGTCAATATACTTGCCCAAGGTCACACAGCAAGGTGAGCCAGGACTAGGCCCTAAGTGTCCAGACTCACTGTGTAAAGCTCTTTTCAATATACTAGCTGCTAAACAACTAAAACCCCTCAACAAACACACACACACACACACCCCCCACTACCACCACCACCACCACCCCAGCCACTGCAGCCCATCCATCCCCAAAAGGCTACAGCTCTTGTAGGGATACTGTTTTCCCACCACCACTCCCTTGTTCCCTCAAAACTCCTGCAGGGTAGGGGGGCTGGCTGCACTCACTCCCCATCCCCATCAGGGAAGCTTCTCAGGGCTCCCTGAACCTTTCTGTGGGCCTTCTTCACACTTTCAGCTTCAATCAACCTCCAGAATGGGGTCTCAGAGACGCCCCCCCCCCTTCTTCTATCTTCAGGCCAGGGTCAGACAGGCACTGACCGTGGAGAAAAGGACAAGTAGCACTAGCGATTGACCCACCCACAAGTCTTTCCCAGACAGCTGCACTGACATTTGCAAAGACACACCACCAAAGTCCCCTTAGCCAATCTCAGCCTAGCCCTGTCACTTAGCAGCCTGCCCACCCTCCCAAGCTATACTCCTGACCGAAGCCCCGACTGCCCAGAGGGTCCAAGGCCGTGGGCCCTGTCCCTCCCCCAAGTTCCTCCATCAGTGCCACACTCACAGCCCAGGCTGCGCCCCGGCTCCTCGGGTCTCCAGCGGCGGCTCTTTCCTCTGGAGCCTGCGCCGCCCTGCGCAAATACGGTAACTCTCCCGCAGCGACTCCCGCGCCCCTTCTCCCCGCCCCCATAAAGACGGCCAACCTCCCTCCACGTTGTTCTTTACAAACAGCTGCATTCATCGAAAGAGCTCCCCCCACCCCGCCGACCCCTAAGCCACAGCGACCCCGGGGAAAGATGGCAAACTGCGTGTCAACCCCACCCCCACGAAGACACGTAAGCCGCCACCCAGCTGCCACAACCCACCCTGCCAGGCTGCAAGCCCCGGACTCCCCAAGGGAATGAATGCAACCCACCCCCCCGCACCCGCGGCGGGCCCCGCGGAACCATGCGACCCTGGATAAATGGGTGATTAAGTCGCGGCAGTGCCACTCCGCAAAAGGGCTGCGCAGCTCCAGGCAAGTACGGTAGCGCGGCCGCAGTGACCCGCCCCCAAGGGTCCGGCAGTGGCCTCGATAAATACGGTAACCTCCCGCCGCGGCCCCAGCCGGGACCAGGGACTCACATGGCGCCGCCTCCCGAGCCCTCGGTCTCCGCCGCAGCGCCGCAGTCGCCAGCGTCGCCGCAGCCGCACAGCAGCCCCGTGAGGCTGGGAGGTCTAACTCGCCAACAGCCCGGCTGGCTGAGAAATGAAGGCTGCTAGTCCTGCGCCTGCCCAGGCAGGACATGGGTCCAGGTGGGGGCCGAGTCCCCGGGACGGGTCACCCCTAGTTCCCCAGGCCCCCACCCTAGCCATTCCCCTGTTAGGATTCCCCAGGCCCCAATTTGACAGAACACCATCCTCATCTCCCTCATCCAAGGCAGCAGTAGCCTAGCCAGGCCGGGAGCTGCCCCTAGCGAAGAGGGAGAGGTCGGGGTCGGGGGTGTGTGTGTGGGGGGAGTGGTAGCTAGATATTTCCCTGAGGAGAAAGAGGAGCATAAACGCAGGGGCCCCAGAGGTGTCTGTGCGGTGTTGGGGGGAGGGTGTCTCGGGGGCAGGACAGCACAGTCAGAGGGCAGAATCGGAGCACTGCCCTGGCCGTCAGTTTTGGCAAAGCCCACCTTACTATATAGCCTGGGTCACATCAATGACCATAGAGAGTAGAGGAAGAAATGACAACCCTGCAGTCCGCTCCTCCACAGATCTGAGTCCACTGTGGTCAAAGGAGATCCCATAAAGGAACTGCTTGGAACACCCAGAGAAGCAGCAGGTGTGAGGCATAGGTAAATTCTGGTTTACCGCCCGCCTTTTAGTAATGATGCTCCTTGTTGTACATACCTCGGTGGAAAAACAGCCCTCTCCCATGTATTACCTCCTAGGAACTTCCCAGTAACCCTGTGCAGTCTAGGTTGGACGGGTGTTATTATCCCATTTTATAGATGGGATTTTTTTTTTTTTAAAGAAAAGATGCGTGCATACCTGTAATCCCAGTATTCGGGAGGCCTAGGCCGGAGGATCCTGAGTTTGAGGGCAGCCTAGGCTACACAGCAAGACCTTGTCTCAAAAGAAGAGAAGGGAAGGTGGAAGGGAAGGGAAGGAAAAGAAAGAGGGCTGGTGGAGTGGCTCAAGTGGTAGAGCGCTGGCCTAACAAGTGTGATCCTGAGTTGGAACACCAGTATGGCAGAGAGAGAGAGAGAGAGAGAAGAGAGAGGGAACACAGAGCAGCTTCCCCTAACTAAGACCCATAGTTCTAACTGGCTCAGAATTCACATTTGGCCAGTAAAGATACAAGTGGGTGCCAGGCATGGTACTACTTGCCTATAATCCCAGCATCAGGAAACTAGAGGCAGGAGGATCTTGAGTTCAAGACCAGCCTGGGATACATAGTGAAACCCTGTCTCATATCTAGATAGATAGATAGATAGATAGATAGATAGATAGATAGATAGATAGATAGAGTTACAAGTGCAAGAAGAACAAATAGGCTTTCTCCCTGTGGGCCCTCAGTAGCTGCCAGGTGAAGGGAGTAACCATAATTCTTGGCTTTTTCTGGCAGATGGTGGACATGCTGTTAGGCAGTAGAGCTAATCCCTGGTGATGGGCTTTGGGAGACCCAAGCCTCCCACTATCATGAGGACCAAGCCTGTGGCTCCACAGGTGCCCAGTGTGCCTTCTGGAGCATGAGAACTGCAGAATTCCAGGGGGCCTAAGAGGCAGTAGTCAGCCCCTTGTTAGGGACACTGAAACCCAAAGCCAGGCCTACCTGCTTGCACAGCCCTCTCAGGACCAGTGTGTCCCAGCAGGCCCAGCCTGGCCCATTCTAGGCCTCTCGATGACCCACCTCACTCCCATACCCCCCTCCCTGCTGCTCCTGCAGCATCTCACTGAGCTCCATAGGTCCCCTCCCAAGGACACTGCTATCTTAAACAGAGGCAACAAGCAGGGACATAGGAAGCTAAAGGATTGAATCACCAGGATAGATGTTTACCCCAAGGTCAAGTTTAGAGTTCCCATGGATAACAGAACGTCCTTTTCTCTAATGACAGTCCATACCCACCTCTCTGCTCATAGGACAGCCACATCTCCCAGCTTTCCAGCTTGTGTTGAAGAAGTTGTCACCTGCCAGAGCAACTGGTCTTCTGCAGGCCACAAGAGAAATGGGGACACTTAGTAAAGACTAGGGTTTCAAAAGCAAATTTAATAATACACCTGAGGTTGGCAGCATATTTTTTGGCAGCATTTTCTAGGTAAGCTGAGCCTAAACAAATAATAAATAAATAAAATAGCCAAGGGGTAGGGGTGGGAGGCAGACAATGCTAAGTCAGACTTTTCTACTCGGTTGGTTCACTTCTTCAGTCTCATACATGTACCTCCAGTCTCCCCCAGTCCCTCGTTTTCACAATAGGAAGACAATGTGGCAATATTCTGCAGACACAGCCAAGGCTTCTTCATCCAGGCAGGATAGTGGCCAATGTGTGACCACCACCATCCTGTGAGGCCCATGTGGCAGCTGGACTTGGGACCCTACAAAGCCCAGGGCTGCTAAGGTACCCTGGAGAGCAGCTGACTCATGGCTCCCTCCCATGTGGGTGGAGTGGATAGGTCAGCAAGCCTTGCTTGGCCCTGCGTGGTTTTTCCCTGGGACACACCACATGAACAGATGACTCTGGGATCTCCCAGTTCAGCTCTGCCTATCCTCCAGCTCCTCCTGCACCTCCAGGGCTCCCACACTCAGCAGGGCAACCACCTTTCCCCAGTGAGCTCTTCCCAACCCCAGGAACTGGACAGTAGTCCACAATATCTCTCCAAAGCACCTGATGCTAACCTCAAATTTAGTTGTCCCTATCAGGTTGTGAATGTCAAAGGGCAGGGACTGTATTTTTGGCTTCCCTGTATCCCAAGTGTCCTCCATATAAAAGGTCCTCAGTCAGGGTCAGTTAAGTGAATGAATGCATGTCTGTAAGCTACATCTGATAGCTGGCAGGGTTGGGGGGCGTCTGCCATGAGGGGAAAGATGGTCCCCAAGGGCTGATCAGTGTATTAACACAACATGAGGAGTTGCAGGCTGAGCTCCGGGCCCAGCCACAACTTTGAAGGCTGGCAGGGGCTGCAAAGACCTAGATGAAGATACGGGGCTCTGGGTGTGAGGCCTCATCTGCTCCACAGTCTTCTTTCCTTTGAATTAAAACTCAAGATATGACCTATGACATCAATTCGGCCAATACTTAAACTCATGGCAGGGCTGCTTAATACAGAGAACGGTTCGTTCCTCAGAGTCAGGGCGAATGGGTAAACCCTTTCCCTCTCTTTCCATAGGCGCACATACACTGCAAGCAGTTTAATAAAAGGCTGCACTTACTGAATGCCTGCTGTGTGCCCAGCACTGTACCACATGGATCACTTGCCCAGATCGCATAGCTGAAGTGGCAAAGGCTGGATTTAACCTGAGAACTGTCAGACTGTCTCCACTATTGCCAACAAAAAAACAAAGTTCTTTCTGGATTTGGGCCATGGATGGGCAGAGGGAAGGAGAGGGAGAAGCTGTTTGCCAATAGGACCAGCATCCCTGGGAGGTACTATCCAGCGGCCATGTGGAGCTATTTAAATTAATTAAAATTAAAGTTTAAATTCACTTCCTTAGCCACATTTTAAGTATTCGGTAGTCACAGATGGCTGGCGACTATGGCATTGAGCAGAACAGATACAGAGTACTTCATGACAAAATGCGCTGTTGGATACTTCTAGGCTAGGACACTTTCCTCTTCAAACCTGGGTGACCCGGGAGATGCCAGCCCCTCTTTAGGCCTAAGGAACAACCTAAGAGACACCATTCGTTTCCCTCTCTGCACTGCCCCTGGAAGCATCCAGGAAGAACAGTAATATGTGACAATATACTATTTTTTATCCCAATAGTCCTGCCAAAAGGTCAAAGAGATTTCTTTACCAAACTCAAATCAGGTTTTTAAATAATGCTTCAGAAGCACCCCCCACTCCACCAGTTACTCTGCCAAGTTCCCACTGGCACCAGGCCCGCTCTCTCCCTGACACAGTGCTTCTGCCCCTGCAAAGAAGCCGTTCCTCTGGCCTCTCCAGCCCCTCCCCCTCCAGCAGCAATCCCCAGCAACCCCTGGGGTAGGGCAGCAGGCCCCAAATCCTCTCAAGGAGCCTGTCCTCCTCTCTGGTGGACCTGTCACACATGTCACTTGCAAAAGAATAGTCATTGTAGAGTACCTAGGTAATCTTTCCCAGCCTGCTTCTAACAATTCCAGGAAACCTAGCCCCACCCAGCTCACGTGGTCTGTTGGAAGTTTGGCCATGGGTCCTCTACAGACCTGCACTTGCTTACCTGGCAGAGGACAGGATCCTTTAAGATCTTCATTTACTTGGGTGTTTTTTGTTCTTCTCTGCAACTCCTCAATCTATGCAATGCTGCATAGTATCTTGAATCATAAACAACTAGGACAAGTCTGACCTCCTTGTCTTTGATTTTATGGTGTGTCTTTTCCTAAATATTCTCTGACCCAGTTTTATCACTTTAAAATGAAAGGGAATGAAAATTGAAGTCGACAGTGTCATGCCATCCTTGGAAGAGCCTGTGGTTGTGACATTGGATGCAGTTTAAGCTAACAGGAGGCCTGGAACCTGCTGCCGATCTGCAGCATTAACTAGGGGACAAGTCACACTGCCCCAGCACCTTTTCCTATGTCAATGGCAGTGTCACTGCCCGGCCTACATCGCTGACCATGTGAGAGTGAGATAAGGAATAAGAAAGCTTTGCTAAGAGAACTGCGGCTGGTAACAATTTGTCCACAAATTGACCATATGTATTGCTCCAAATTGTGTTCTATCAAAATGATTTTCCATAAAAGGTTCTTGAGCAAGGGCAGGAACCATGTCTTATTTACTGCAGCGTTCCAGGTGTCTGGCAGGATGCCCGGCACACAGTAGGTTTGTTACAGAACCAGTGCTATACAGTCTTGACCTGGTCAACAGGCAAATACATTGACAGTTCATCACTCTGGGGTGATCTGGCCCTATCAGCCTTGTAACCTAAATCTGGGAGAGGGTCCGTCACCCAGGAAGGGTACAGAAGCAGGGAGCTTGGGGGAGGGGGAGCTCATTTACCTCAAGTACTACCAACACCGAGCCTTGATTTGATCATTAAAAACAGGCCAAGCCAGGAGCCTGTGGCTCATGCCTGTAATCCTAGCTATTTGGGAAGCTGAGATCAGGAGGATCATTGCTTAAGGCCAGCCTGGGCAAATAGTTCCTGAGACCCCCATCTCCAAAATAACCAGAGCAAAATGGAACTGGAGGTGTGCCTAAAGTGGTAGAGCACCTGCTTTGCAAGCATGACCTGAATTCACACCCCAGTCCTACAAAACTAAATAAAAAACTAAAAACACCACAGGCCATTTGTGAAAGAGAAAACATTCTATTGAAAGATAGAATACATCAATATGTCAGTCTGATCTCTTCAGTATCTGCCTGCACCACCCCTTGGTACCTAACTCTACAAGGAGCCAGTGTTTCCGCAGGTTCCAGCTGGAAGACAGTATCTCTCCAACCCATAAACAAATGGTGGTACCCAGGAACGTCTTCCAAGAGTAGGTGAGCTTGGTTTCAAGATTTACTAAGTGGCAAAGAGGAAGCAAATGAGGCTCCCCCTCCCATGGTAGAGTAAGTTTTGATGCAATGCAGGGCACAGGGCACTCCCTGGGCAGGACAGGTAGGGAGAGTTGCTACAGGAGAGAACAGGGAGCACCTGGGACCGGTGTAGGTTGGGAGATGCCCAGGAAAACCCTTCTGGTTTGGCTTCCTGTTGATCCTGAGAGCTGAGTACTCAAGGTGGGTGACAACCCTGGCACACCTCACCCAGTGGGGGAATTTCATACAGTTTATGACCGAAGAACTGACCAGGAGTAAGCAGCCTGAGCACTGGGCATCACTGATATTGTGTTATCCAGGAAAGCTGGAGCCCACTCTGTTTGTCCTTCCTATCATCTCCATGTGTCTTTGTATCACTACTATAGCTGGAGCTTTTCCCAGATGTAGAGATTTAAAGTAGATCTGAACAGAGTGGTGACCAGAGGCCAGGCTGAACTCAGCAGCTCCCAGAGAAGGTAGCACTGTTTTGCATCCAGAAAAGGATCCAGGCCTAGAGGCCAGCAGGTGCAGGTCTTCCTCCTCAGACCATGCTGGCCCCTTCCTTCTTCCTACCTCCCAGCTATCCAGCCCTGGCACCAACCTCCATTCTCTGCAATTCCCTCCCCTCCTCCAGGAAGTTTCCATCCAAGGCTACAGGCTGGGCTGGACTCCTGGCTTGTCAGCACCAGGACCTCAGCCAACCCTGCTTTGGAAGAGCATGAGAGGTGACCTCAGGGAGGTGAGAGGCTGGAGTGCGTGAGAAGAAACACTGAAGAGAGGAGAGTAGAGAAAACTGTCGTCCCCCAGCAGGAACTGGGAGCAGGGAGTTGCTATGTGAACAGACAAGAGCTCCCTGCCCTGGTCTTGGGTGGAAGGGTCCCTCCGAGTACACACGAACCATGCTACAGCAAGGGGAGCTCAGAAAGAACGACACCATGTGGAATATTTGGCCCTTCATTTTTCTCTTCTGCAACACCAGAATGGACAAGGATCCAAGTCAGTCACAGTCACCCACCCACTTGAGGCCAGGAACAGGAGCAGCACAGATGGCTTGATCCTACCCAGCCACCTTCCCAAGCAGCCGCACTTCAGCTGAGACCACCTGCCCACACGTCCACTCCTAACCATCACACCAAGGCCAGTTCCAGGGACAGGGGCACCATACCCACCACCCTGAGCACTCAGAATTGGAGGACCATCAAACCATTCTGCTTTTCCAGAAAGTTACTGGGAGTCCATTAAGTGCTGGCACTGTCCTTGGTGCTGGGGATATGCTTGCCCCTCCCTAGCCTGCCTCTGCTCCATCCTTGGTATCCCGGAGTCTCCCATGGGACCGCCCCTGGGCATCCTGCAGCCTGAGTGTGGCAGTCCTGGGCCATTTCACACTGACCCTGTCTTAGAACCCCCAACAGCCCTTCACTTGGTGCCTGAAGCCTGGGGGTACCTCCGTGAAGTGTACAGATGGGCCCAACCCAGCAGACATATCCAGGTTCCAGGGTAAAGCATGCTGATCTCACCTGCTCCCTCAGCACACCTGGGCACTTTAGGAGGCGCCCTCCTTATGCTTCTGGAATTGTCTCAGGGCTTAGAGCCTTGAGGAACTGCGTTTTGATAAGGTCTCACTTGGGGAGCGCTAAGAGTCAGCATTCCGGGCCCTTCCCACCCTCCACTTGCACCCTGCACAAAGCCCTCCACCAAGGTCAACCGGGCAGGACACACTAGAGGGCCTCCTCCTCCTGGCCTGGCCTGGCCGCCAGGGCTCCGCGGTGAACGCGCTGGTGCTTGAGCAGGTGCTGCTTCTGTCGGAAGCCGCGGCCGCAGGGGCACACAGGTAGAGGGCCGTTCGCCGGTGTGGTTGCGCCCGGTGCCGAGTCAAGTTGGGCTTCTGGCTGAAGCGGCGGCCGCACTCGGGGCACGCGTAGGGCCGCTCGCCCGTGTGGATGCGCTGGTGGATGGTGAGCGCCGACCACCACGAGAAGCTCTTGCCGCACTCGTTGCAGATGAACTGGCGCTGCTCGCTGGGCCCCGCCAGGCTCGTGCGCCCTCGGCCCCATAGCGCGCCCCGGACCCTCTGGGGCCGTTGGGGACTATCGGGCTGCGTAGCCAAGCCCTGGGGAGCCCCAGCTGGTGGCTGGGAGCCCGCCTCCCCGCCGGGGAGACCGGGTCCGGAGCGCAGCAGCTCGGCGGCGTGTGCGCGCTGGTGGGCCCGCAGCGCGGCGCGGCTGGGGCAGCTCTGGCCGCAGCTGGGGCACGGCGCGGCCTGGGCGCCAGGCAGGTGTGTGCGCAGGTGCTTAAGCAGGTGCTGCTTCTGGCGGAAGCTGCGGCCGCAGTGCAGGCACGGGTGCGGCCGCTCGCCCGTGTGGTTGCGCAGGTGCCGGGTCAGGTTGGGCTTCTGGCTGAAGCGGCGGCCGCACTCGGGGCACGCGTAGGGCCGCTCGCCCGTGTGGATGCGCTGGTGGATGTTCAGCGACACCACCAGGTGAAGCTCTTTCCGCACTCGTTGCAGATGAACTGGCGCTGCTCGCCAGGCCCCGAGCGGCCGTGGGCAGTGTCCGGACCCCAGACTGTTCCGCTCTGGGGCCCAGCCGGCCGCACTGGGGCACGCCGGCCTGGGGGCAGGCAGGCGCAGGTCGCTTAAGCAGGTGCTGCTTCTGGCGGAAGCTGCGGCCGCAGTGCAGGCACGGGTGCGGCCGCTCGCCCGTGTGGTTGCGCAGGTGCCGGGTCAGGTTGGGCTTCTGGCTGAAGCGGCGGCCGCACTCGGGCACGCGTAGGGCCGCTCGCCGTGTGGATGCGCTGGTGGATGTTCAGCGACGACCACCAGGTGAAGCTCTTTCCGCACTCGTTGCAGATGAACTGGCGCTGCTCGCCAGGCCCCGAGCGGCCGTGGGCAGTGGTCCGGACCCCAGACTGTTCCCACCAGCTCTGGCAGAGTCCCAGCCAGGCCCACTCGGGACGCCCCCGTGGGGGCCCCGGCCGCAGGCGACAGGCTCGACGTCCCGCAGTGTCCCGGAGCATCTCGTGCAGACCGGCGCGGGCGCCTTGGCGGTCCCGAGCGTGAGCGCGCTGGTGGATGCGGAGGCCCACCTGGTGACGGAAGCAGCGCTCGCACTCGGGACATGAGTGGGTGGCGGGGCGAGAGTGGGTCTTCTGGTGCTTGAGCAGGTGCTGCTTCTGGCTAAAGCGCCTGGTGCACTCCGGGCAGCAGAAGGGCCGCTCGCCCGTGTGGTGCCGCTGGTGGCGCGCTAGGTTTGGCTTCTGGCTGAAGCTCTTGCCACACTTGCCGCACAGGTATGGCTTCTCCCCTGTGTGCGTGCGCTGGTGGATCTTCAAGGAAGACCACCAACTGAACCTCTTCCCGCAGTCCACGCACACAAAATGACCCTCGCTGGCAGAAAGCGCCGGGCTTAGAGGGCCCGGGGCTGCCCCTGCAACTCGGCCTGCCAGCCGCGCATCCTGCTCAGGGGGAGGGGCCCACCTTGCACCCCCAGTCTCTTCCTGCACCCCCACAGCCCGAAGCCACCCCATGGTCTGGCATGGTGTGAGGCCCCGATGTCGCTGGAAAATGTTTTCCTTGTCCTTCTCTGGGAGCACGGCCTGTGGTGCCAGCGTCTGAAGCAGCCACTCTGGCTTCTCTTGCTTGATTTTCATCACCGGCCCATCTCCTGCCAGAGGCAAAGGGAGAGGATGGGGAGAGGTCACTGGCTGCTCAGCCTGTGGAGAGCAAGAGTGGAAGAGGGGAAGGGGGTTGGAGAGGGCCAAAGAAGAACTGAAAAGAATGAAGGCAAAGATTTTTTGGGGGGTTGGCACCAGTGGGATGGGGGAAGATATAAGGAAAGGATGTAGGAGGGTGAATGTAGTGGAAATGTTATGTACTCATGTATGAAAATGGAAAAATGAGACCTGTTGAAACTGTTCCAGAAGTCGGAGAGGGGAGGATAAAGGAGAATGATGGAGGGGTGAATTCAACTATGACATATTGTTTAAGAACTTTGGTAAACGTCACAATGTACCCCCAATACAACAGTAATTGATAAATAAATTTTTCAAAAAAGAGTTTTAAATGAAGAGAAAAAATGGAAAAGAAAGAGAATAGAGGGCAGAAAGGACAAGAATAAGAGCAGGCTGAGGTGTGGGAAGAGAAGGAAAAATACAAGAAAAGAAATGGTAAGTGAATGGCTTGGGTGCCAAAGATAGGTGGTCCCTCAAGCATATGTTGACAAGTCTTCTCTACCCCAAGACCTGGAGGTGTAGGGAAGTCAGAGAAACCACCAAGTGGGTCCCTGACCAGGGACCAATGAAAAAATAGCCAAGTTTCAAAACATACCGTTCCTTTTCTAAGAGGACGGTGGATGTGCAGAGCTCTCTAACCATGACATGCCCGGTCCCTCAGTGGTTAGGGTGACCAACCCCTGGGTCACTGCCTCTTCCTCTCCACTGTCTGGGTCCCTGCTCCAGGGCAGTAGTCTTGGCCCATGAACACCATCCTGCTGAGACCTCCATTGTTTGGCAACCTCACCTTTCTTCAACAAAACAAAGAATGAAAAGGTAGGCCCAAAAGACCTTAGCTGGTAACAGGTGCTGCCCTTGGATTGCACCTAATCCACATTACTCAGGAGAGAGCCCTGCATGCTGCTACCAACTCACACCATACACATGGCGCACAAGTCTCCAGAGGTGCTTTGTTTACCTGGCTCAGGAACGCTAAGAAGCCATAATGAAAATGTGTGCTTCAGACACAAGGATCATGTACTATGAGTCCATTTATATGCACATTAAAAGCTGGCAAAAACACTCTGAATCAGAAGTCAGGATTATGGGCCCGTTAGGGAGGCTTGAGCTCTGAGGGTCTGGCAATATTCTCTCTTGATGTAGGGCTAGTCACTGAGGTGTGTTCACTTTGTAAGAATTTATGGAACTTGTGATGTATGCACCTTTCTGTAGGTGCTGATGTTGCAATAAAAAGTTCATATGCAATAAAAAGGAAGTAGAATAAAACAGCTGTGAACAAAGGAGAAAGAAAACTTTCTAAACAGGTTTCACCATTACAAAGGCAACAAAAGAAACCCAAAGAAGTAGAAGGAAGGTATTGATAAAGATTAAAAACAAAGATTACAGATAAAGGGGATAGGTACAAAAAAAAAAAGATTCTGAAAATCCTAAAATACTATGTATAGGCTTTATACCAATAAATTTGAAAATCTATACCAAAGAGATGATTTTTCAAGAGAATGTAAATTAAAACCCACTCAAGAGTAGGTAGAAAATCTGACTATATAAACAATTAGGAGAGAAGGAGAGACTGAAGAAAAAGCCAAAGTTCTACCCACATGATGACTGTATCAAGATCTATGAAAAATTCACAGAAAGAATGTGAAGCTATTACAGTGACTAGGAGGAAAGGGAAGGAGGGAGGGAGGAGGGAAGAAGTCCTTTAAGTCCAGCATAATGCTGGTATCAAACCAAGACACAAATGGGATAGGCAAGGCATTATAGGCTTACTGTTCTTTGAACAGACACAAACATTAACAAAGCCAGTTCAGCAGTATGAAAAATAATAACCTATCATGACCTTGCTGAGATCTTCCCAAGGAAAGCAAAGATGACATGATATAATGCATGGCATTACCTAATTAAAAGCAAAAAAAACCAAAAAACCCAGCTGGGGATGCAGTGCAGAGGTAGAGCACTTGCTTCCCATGCCCTGGATCCCATCCTCAGCACTGCTACAACAAAAGTGAAAACCTCATAACCATCCTCAATGGTTTTCTAAAATTAAACATTATTTCAAGAAGGAAGGAGGAAGACAGGAAGGAATTAGCAAACTAGGAACACAGAAAACTTTCTGAAACTGACAAAAGGTGTGTACTAGAAATTACAGCAGAGATTACAACCAGAGGCAAAAGATTAGAAGACTATTAGAGAAGGGAACAAAACAAGGACTCTCGCTATCCCTGACCCTTTTCAACTTTGTACTTGGGAAACCAGCCAGAGGATAGAAGGAAACATATATATGTAAATACTGGAGAAACTGTATAATATTTTCTGTTTATTTTTTTTTTAAAAAAACAGGTCCTCGCTAAGGGTTGGAAGAAGGAAAGTATGAAGAGGTAGAGAATGGGATTTTAGGGCAATGAAACTCCTACTACAGAATGTACAACGCCAAGAGTAAATCCTCATATAAATAATAATGTTATCGATATTGGACCATTAACTGACCTCATAATGCAAAATGTTAATTATAGCAGAAAGTGGGATGGGGAACTCTCCTCTCTTTGCAATTTTTATATAAACCTAAAACTGCTCTAAAATGTAGTCCATTTGAGGGAAGGGATGGGACTCTTTTTTTGGGGGGGGGTAGTGCTAGGGTTTGAACTCAGGGCCTTAGGCTTGCTAGGCAGGCAGTCTACTGCTTGAGCCACTCCACCAGCCCCTTGTGATGGGTTTTTTTTTTTTTGAGACAGAGTCTCACGAACTATTTGCCTAAGCTGGCTTCGAACCATAATCCTCTTGATCTCTGCCTCCTGAGTAGCTAGGATTACAGGTGTGAGCCACCAGTGCCTGGGAGAAAGGACTCTTGACTTATTAGTGATGTGACTGCTCCATGGTGAGCCTGGTGAATTGAGGCTGCCAGTCAGATTTCCTTCCACCAAAAAAATAAAAATAAAAGCCTACTACAATCTTTAGAATAGTGTAGAATTCATACACTACACAAATAGACCAATGGAACAGATTAGTGTGATATATGACACAAGGTAGCATTCCAAGTCAAGGGCAGAAGGCTGACTTATTCATTGATTTAGAACCAACTGACTGTCTTTTTAGGAAAAACATTTAATGTGAAGCCAGGCACTGGTGGCTCACACCTGTAAAGCTAGCTACTTGGGAGGCTGACATCAGGAATACCACAGTTTGAGGCCAGTCTGGGCAAATAGTTCATAACACCTCATTTCCAAAATAACCAGAGCAAAATGGACTGGAGATGTGGCTCAAGTGGTAGAATGTCTGCTTTGCAAGTGTGAAGCCCTGAGTTCAAACCCCAGTGTCTCTCTCTCTCACACACACACACACAAACACCCAAAATTTAATGTATATATCTTATACATACTGTTTATAAGATCAGTTCCACATAGATTTAAGGGTTTAAGAAAAGAAAATACAAATATTAAAAGTATTAGACAAATTAGGAGAATTTGTTTATAATGAGGAGGTATTTAAAAGTCTTCTTAAGTAGGATTCAGAACATAAAAACTAAACTTTAAATACTAGGATGACAAAAGACACCCCAAACATTCTCAACTAGAAATGACAGTTTCAGGCAGCATTTTCCATAGAACCTTCTGCATAGGTGGAAATGCTTTGCCTGTTGCTCCAACATAGTTTCCTCTAGCGATAAGTGACTAGTGCAACTGAGGACTGAATTTTTTTTTTATTGAAGTTAATTTAAATCTAAATTTAAATTTACATAGTCACATGTGGCTAGCTACCACACAGTGAGCAGTTCAGGTTTAGAAAAAATATGTGCAGATATATAATCAATAAATGACTACTATCTAGAATATATAAAGGAGTCCTATAGAGATGAGAAAAGAGGTTCAACCTCCTTAGTCATCAGCAAAATGTAAAAAAGGAGGTTGATCTTTTCACCACTTGCACCAGCAAAAATGGAAAATAATATCCTTACTTTACAACACACAGGGAAATTATAGGGGGCACGTCCACAGGGCATCCTGGGGGCATGTCCTGAGGTTCACACTTCTGGAAGGACAACTTGGCAGTGTTCATTTAAACTATAAATGTGTAGAATCTTCTGTCCCTTTCACCCAGCAATTTCATTCTAGGTACAAATCCTAAGAAATACATATGAGTGCAAAGAGTAACCAAGGATATTCGCTGAAATGCTGTTTTTAATTAGTAAACAATAGGGGAAAAAAACCTAAATACCCATAAACAAAGTTTAAAAATTACCACTCCCTTCGTAATATGGAGTACTATGTAGCAACTGAAAATATTTATTGGCATATATACAAATATATAAATATATTTGTATATATGCCAATAGGAAAAGATTTCCAAAACATTTTAAGAGAAAGAAAATCACAAACTGAAGAAAAACAATATGAATCTTCTGGTCCAATTTATGAAAAATAAAACTATGTGTCTATGTACATACGTGCTTGTGTAAGCAGCCTGAAGGTGGCGGTCACCTCTGATATATTAACCATAGCAGGATTGATAGAGGTCAAAGAGAATCTTCCCTTTACCTATATTGTTTGAATTTGAGATATTCAAATGTGATAATTTTAAGGGTTTGAATTTTACATTCAAATATTATAATTTTTGGCAGTACTGGGATTTGAACTTAGGACTGTGCACTTGCTAAGCAGGCACTCTACCACTTGAGTCATGCCCCCAGCCCTTTTTGCTTTAGTTATCTTTCAAATAGGGTCTTGCATTTAAGCCCATACCAGCATGGACCTCGATCCTCCCATTCATGCTTCCCTCCTAGCTGGGATGACATGAATGAGCAAGGTACCACATCCAGCTTTCTACTGGTTGAGATGGGATATCGTTAACTTTTGCCAGGCTGGCTTCAAACTGAGATCCCCCCCATCTTCACCTTCTGACTAGATAGGATTTGCAAGTATTAGCCACTGTACCTGGTCAACTATTATAATTTTAAACATTTAAAAAAATCAAAGTTATAAAAAAACTTCACTTCTACTCTGGTAGCCTTTCATTCTAGGACTAAAGGACCCCATTCCCCTCCATGTCCTCAGGGGCTATCATGGGGTCACTGCAGGGCAAGAGATCATGGAAAGTGCCTGTAAGGGTAAAACAATGCCATAATGCCTGCCCTGAAGCTTGGTTGTGAGAAATCACTTTAGTCTGAGGCACAATTTAAAACAAAAAGTAGTTACTTGAATTATATAGTGGCAAAAACTGAATGCCCACATTTAATGAATTGATTATAGGGCTGTTTCCTTAGCTGCACTGAAATGCTGGCCAATGAAAGTATCTAGCACTAGGTGTCCAAATTGGCAGCTTGGTAATGAATCCAAGATGGACTCACACAAGAAGGGACCACTGTCCCTGAGTGACACTACATCCATTAATGCCCCAGAACTCCAAAGCCCCTGCAGCCAGAAAGATGACACTGTGCCTGCAGCCTCAGGGTCTTCTGATCCATAATCAGACGAGTTATCCATTGTACCCTGGCCTACACCTGCCTGCAGCCTCAGAACACCAGGACAGAGCTCTCTCCCATCCACCTGCTGAAAGACATCAGGGGAAGAGAACCCAGCATAGATTCCTGCAGGTCCTGCAAATGAGGAATGGGGTGAGCCTGAACTTAAGCCTGCTGGGGGCATATTCCCTTAGGACTCAGCACTGACACAAAGCCTCTGGCTTACAGGCATAGCTCTTCAGTCATCAGAAAGAATGTTTTAACTTTTGAGTCAGATAAAATGAGAAGGTGTTGAATGGGGATTATTACTGGGTACAGAGCCTGAGTGATGAAAAGATCTGGAAACAGATGGTGGCGATGGTGACACAGCATTATAAATGTGCTTAGTGCCACATACTCAACACTTAAAAACAGTTAACATGATAAATTATGTTATGAATATTTTGCCACAATAAAAAAACACATAAAATATGTAAAAGTTAAAAGAGGTAAGCTCTAAACTCTCTGAAAAATGGTGGCTGTCCAGAATAAGCCATTCCCTAAGTCAGACCAGGCAGGCAGCCTGAGGGATCCAGATGAAGAGAACATGGCTGCAGCCCAATGGCCAGCCCTAGTGTCCCCTTCATGCCTCAGCACTTCCAGTAGCTAAACCAGTGTTTTTCACCTTCCCTAGAACCACAGGGTTGCCTCAGAAGCTGCCCTGGGGATGGCAGAGGGGCCTGAAGGACTCATCTTCACAGCTAATTAGGATCCCACTTAGGAGTTGATCTGGAAAAAGGTGTCCTTGGGTCAGAGCATTTGGCCCCTGTGCTCTAAGCTTTATGGTAACAACTCTAGTGTCTGTATCATATAGGAGCTCCCAGATTCCAAAGTGAGACCAGCAGGGGCCCATCCTGTGGGAGCCTCACCACCACCTGAGGATGTGTGTCAGGATCCCACCCAGGATGGGTAGTTTCCACCCATCCCACTGCCGCCCTTGGAGCTTGCTGCTAAGGTTATCTTGCATTCAGTTACTGCCTAGCTTTGTCTCAGTCTTGGGTCCATGGAAATGATTCCCCTGGGAGGGGAGAGGAAAGGAAAGAAACCTGAGTCACATGGCTGGCAAGGGGCAGGACACCCAGGTAGGCTGGGCCTCCTCTCAAACCAGGCCCTGCTGGGGGACCCACAGTCACTCTGCAGCTCCCACCAAGACACAAGAGCTGGGGGAGTTGCTCACAGGTGCCAGGGGCTGTTCCAGCCAGGTGCAAGGCTCTGGCCAAGAGCACATGACCAGGCAGGAAAGTCTTCTACTCTGGGCAGCACTTGTCTGGGAGATACCAAAACTGACTGCTGGCAGACCGATAAAGACCCTGAACTCTGAGTGACCCCAAGGAGCCCCAGTGACCTAAACTGTTTGCTGGTCCACAAACAGAGCTTATTTTAGTCAACCATCCTACCCAGAATGCTAGTTTTCCATGTTTGCTCAGCAGAACCACCTTGAACTCTAATTTCTAACTGCTATGTGTCTCCCGTCACCTGCCAAGTTAGTGGACTAGACCTTGCCATCTGTTTGCTCCTAAGGTCTCTGTCTTTGTTCTGTTCTTTGGATGGCCCAGTCTAAGTCCTGGTCCTCACCCTGAAATGGCACATTCCAGAAGCTATTGGCTGAGGGTGGGAGCAACTTGCATTTGGCTTCAGTGAAGACAGGGACAGGTGAGCCTTCTCAGCCTTCTCCTCTTCTCTCTTACCTGTGCTGTCGCCAGCCAGACCGCTCTCCATCCCTACAGGACTTCCACAGCATCAGCACCAGCCAGGTCCTTCCCCTGCCACCTAGAGGGGGAGATGGGAGAGATAGAAAGAGACTTGGCCTGTGGGACAAGATGAACCCCGGTTTCCCAGTTCCTCTTCCATCTCAAAGGATGTTCTCCCTTTCTCAAAAAGCTTTTCCATCCATGACCTCAGGTGAAATGTGCAGGGGTTTTTAACAGCACACATACCTGCTGGACCGATAAAATTAGCACCATTCCCACTTTACAAAAGGGAAACTAGGCCAGAATCCTGATGTACCAGAGTCAGAAGTGGTTGAATGGCAGGCATCCTAACTGCCAGAACAAAGCTTCATGCCCCTTCACCCTCAGCATCGGCAGGGTGGCATGTGAAGAACACACCTGAGAATCAGGAACCTCAGGTGAGGTGAGAGATTGTATGGGATCAGTCCCACTTAAGAAGACACCTGGAGGGGCTGGGGATGTAACTCAGTGGTAAAGCACTTGCCTAGCATGTGCCCCAGCACCACAAAAAAACAAAAATAAAAAAAAAAGACACCTACCTGTAAGGCAGACCTGCCCCCACCTTTCCTAAGCCAGTGGCCCTTCTTTCAAAGTCCCTATCCAAGGCTGGTAAGAGTGCCTACCTAGCAAACATGAAACCCTGAGTTCAAACCCCAGTGCCTTCAAAAAACAGAAAGAACAAAGTCCTCATCCATACGCACAAACGCTTCTTCCAGAGCGTCTCACAGCCAGCCCACCTCCTCCCCAAGGACACGCCGGCTCACCAGTTCCTAGTTCATTGATCTAGGGTTTACCAATTCCTAAATATTCCTGACCTGTTTCTTTCATGCCTGGAGCACGGCCGGGGGTAGATCGTTTGGCTGCTCCAATACCCCTGGCCATGGCCCAGAAGTCCCCTCTGCCCCCACAATCTCTGCCTGGCTCACTTTAGGCTTCTTTCTTCTGCTTAAATGTCACCTTTCCAGAGCAGCCTTCCCTGGCAAGTCAATGTACAGTTACAAGTCCAACTCGACCTCCGACTGTCCTTAACACTCATCGCCCCCTGCCACGCTCTTTACTTGCATACTCCCCGCCATCACCGGGACAGGAACTTCTCATGTTCAATGCCCAGTCCCCAGGGAGAGGGCACTTAACAAATTTATGTGCATCTGTAGACTTGCTACTTGGCTTTGAGCTGTGGCGCAGAGATGCACTCATGTTGTAAAAGGTGCTCAAACTGCTTTTGCTGAAAAGCATGCACTCCTGACTCAAGCGCAAGAATTAACAGGAGACAAGCATGGCCCCTCTCCTCCCTTTTGTATCTGTCTTTGTTCTGAGCCGTCTCTCTGCAATCACCTTGGATTTCAGGAAAGACAGAACTGATAGCATCTTCATGACAAGGGACGAAAGTACCCCCAACAGTAAAGGCTCCTCAGGATGGGCCACCTACCTGCTGCTAGAGAGCAACTCCAGAATAATGACCAACAGACCACACCTGCGACTGGAACTGTTTATGCATACCTTTGTCCCCTGCCCCCAGTTCTTCTGTCTACTTAAACCTGTAGCTCATGTCTGTACCCCAACGATGGTTGAAGATGGGCTGAGTGCTTTCTCCGCCTCTTCCCACGGCATGTCCTGAGTCGTGTAATAAACCTCCTCTCTCTGCCTTCATCACGCCTCTTTGGCATATGGAGGTGAGTCGCCAAACCTGGCATGTGGAATCCCAGGACTCTAATTCCAATGTTACCCACCACAGTGGTGTGGACTACCTCTCCTAAGGATGGGATCTAGCCTCAGCGACTTGTATCTGCTTAGCACAGCAAGGACTTGTGGCTGGCGGCCCAGCAGCAGCTCACAACCTTGCTTCTTGCTGCTCTAGGAAGGGGCTCTTCTTCCAGGCAGTGGGCGGCTCTGCCTTCTGGGGCACTGTGGCAAGGCTCAGGGATCTCACCAGCCCTGTCTAGACCTCCCCAAGGTCCCCTTCCTGAGTCCTAGGGGTTCCTACTCACAACGGAGAGCCTGACCCTGACTAGAGGTGGGGGACAGACATGTTGGCAAATGCTGAATCTAAAGAAAAAATCACTTTCACTGGTGCAAAGAGGGGAATGCTTTTCCCACAGCGTTTTCTTTAGCAACTCCTAATTGTTAAGTTCTGGCCCCATGCTTTCTTAAAAAGCTAAACAAGCTTGCCAGTTTTACAACCCAGGAAGGTCTACCTCAAGGACCAGAATGCCATCCCTTTGAGATGCAAGCAGCTAGGATCGAGGGGTGGGGGCAGCTCCATGGGAGGACAGGACCTAACTGGGCAGGCTCCTGGTTCCAAATTGCAACCTCTTTCTGTCATAAAAATGTGAGTTTAATTTTCTTTTGGGTAAGAGTAATTAGCTAACAGATGGCCAGCACAATTACCTTGTGAATTTAGGATGGATAGCATGTGACAAATGGCACTGCCACATCTCCTACTTGAAGTTTATCTTGAGAACAGGTAAGCAATGGGTGGCTTCTGCCAGGCTATACCTTTACCTGGATGGAGTCTCTGTGACTAGCAATCTCAGTGGATTGCCCGTGATGTCATCACATCCTTCTAATTCTTATTCTATTAGAAATCAAAATGAACAAACAAACAAAAAGCCTGTTTTCTTTCCCTTCTACCTTTGTGGAAGCTTTTCTGGGTTGGAGGCAGATTTTGTTTTTAATTTTGTTTCCCTACCAGGGGTCTGTCAGGCATCCCCCCACTGTCTTTTCTTATGAATGCTGCAGCCTGCTGGTGGCAGGAGAAGGCAGCAACAGGAAAGCAGGGGACCAAAAGGACCCTGCTGGGGCTGGGGCTCCTCCTTTGCCCACCACCTGCTTTCTTCCAGGCCCCTTCCTGTGGGTTTCTTCATTCCAAGCTTTGAGGCCCCTCTCACCACTTGGACTTAATGTCCACCTCAAGAGGCTCAGCGGACCTGGACAGAGAGGCCATCTGGACATGGAAACACTGAGAAAGGAGTTGGATTCTGAGCTACAAATCTAGGGCAAGGATAGAGGGACAGGATTCAACCTATGCAATACCTGGAAGCCTCCAAGCCACACCAAAAGAGTGCCTACTTTGCCAACTCTGACATCCAAGAGCCATTAAGACTCACCTTAGGTAACAGAAAGGCTCTGATTCTTGGTGACCTACCCTTAGTGGCTCAGTACCTCTGTCCCATGCCACACCAGGGCATGAGAGACAGCAGCCCTATGTCTATGCAGGAAGTGAAAAATGTAAGGAAAGGGAAAAAGTGAGAAATGAGAGGTGGATGCACAGACATGGGGGAGGGAGGGAGGCCATGCTTTTGGAGATCCACTTCCACATGTGTGCTAAGGTGGGATGAGTCTACAGACCACACCCTGAAAAAGCCAAGGCCAAGGCAGCACCTACACATGGACACCTCCTCCAGGTCACTCCCAGAGCCTCTCACCAAGCTTCGCTATCATTCTGTCCCTTGCTCTGCCATGCCACTTGGTTTGTCCCTCCTCACCACCTCCCACCCTGACACATCAGTCATCTGACAGGACAGACATCCAGGAAGCAGGCTGCCAGCAAAAAATCAGCCCAGCAGGATACAGGAGCTAAAAGGCAGATGCTCCATCCTCCACCAGTCTCCACTCTGAGTCTCTTGACAACCTGGTCCATCACATAGGCCTCTAACCTCTTCCACAGCCCACAAGTACTGTGGGAGCAGGGCACACACAGAGGATGAGTCTCAGGATGGACCCTGGTCACCAGTTGCCTCCCCCGCTCCCTGTGGTCTGCCCCAACTCAGCCACCCATTGGGACAGGCCGAAATTTGGTTAAAAATTCCCTCAGCTGGGCGCTAGGCCTGGCTGCCCGACAGCTGCAGGACCACACAAAGAGGGGATTGAGGACTGCAGCAGGTGGTGAGGCTGGGCAGGGAGGTAACAAAGGGCTTTGGTATTAGCAGAGACCAGAGGGCAGGGGAGCAGCTGGGGTGAGGAGCAAGGCCAGGGAGACGCAGCTCAGAGATCTTGCCAGGCCTCCCAACTTCTTGATTCACAGGAACAGACTCAGAGCCCCAGGTAGGGAAATAAGAAGTGGCTGGTGGCTCCTTTGTCACCAGTGAAGCAGGCCCACCAGTGTCTTTGCTAGGAGGTGAGGCTTTGAGAGGGGCCTTTCTCAGCCTCAAGGTCCCTTCCTTGGTCCTCCCCCATTCCCCCCCAGGATACAGCAGGTAGAAGACAGGCAGAACATAGCCTGCCCCAATCCCCCTTTGTGTCAAGCCAACTCCCTCCACCTCTGCTTCCCTTTCCAGTAGCCATGTCCTTCCTAGTGGCCCATTTACCCCACCTGGTCCTCAGAGCACTCTGTCAGCTCCTCACAGCTCCACATAATGGTGGTTCCACTCTTCCTGCTGCATGCCCTACTCACCAGTGGAGCTCCAATGAGCCATGACAGACTCTGCAAGGGGCCAGGCAAGGGCACCAGGTCTCACCCCTGTGCCAAGGATGCTCTTAGATCACCCCTTGGGAGCATAGGTGGTGCATCTTCTACACCTCCATTTATTTGAGGAGAGGCTGGGAGGCTTCCCTGAACACCTTGGCATTGACTAGTTATGGAAAGAGGGTGGGCAACAGGGATAAGAAGAATGCTACCACTTGCCGAGCACTGACTGGGTACCAAGTACTTAGCAGGCAGAGCCCATGACATCCTTCAGCTAAGGAAACTGGCTCAGAGAAGCTATGTTATTTGCTTAAGGTCACACAGCAGTTAAGTCCTGGAGTCAGAAAGGAATTGAAGTGGGACTGCCCCAGCTGGTGCACTTTCTTCTTGACTGTGTAGCCTTCTAAGAGACCTGTGAGGACTGTAAGATAGGTATTGGGGGCGGGGGAGTATGAATGGAGTTGATGAAGGTGAGGAACTATGGTTGATGGGCTTCGTATACGTACATGAAATGCAATGGTGAAACCTCTTGCAATTGCTTTAAGTGGGGCAGGAAGGGGGTTGGATAGGGAAGATGGCAGGGGCGATCTAACCAACATACAATGTAAAGTTATTGAGAACTGTCCCCCTGTACAATGAACACATGCTAATAAAAATGAAAAAGAAAGAGAGAGAGAGAGAGAGAGACCTGTGACCAAGATAGCCTTTAACTACCAATGCTTAATTTCCAGGAGTTTGGCT